TATTTAATATCAATTATCAATTGTGAAAAAAAAAATACAAATAGTTTATAACATTTTAGAAAGCCTACCATATCGAATCCCACATAAACCATAAACTAGAAGCTAAGAATAATTAAATGGCCTGTGGACTTGGGGAGGCTCGTTGTACATGAACAGAAAAGTCCATACATGATGTTAAATGCAAGCATGCAACTAAAAGAACTAGAAACAACATTAACATTAAACGAAACTAAAGCAACCTGGCTGCCATATGTAATGACATCCATTAACTGAAAGTATTTTTACGGCAGTGGAAATAGTCAGTACTTCTCATATTTGGGAAAGAACCTTAATCATGGCGGCCCGTGGGCGGCATTTGGCTTGCAACGGCTGAGCTTTTGGCATGGCGATCGCTGTTAATCCTTCAGTCATGTCTACCATTTTCTCTCCGACTCTTTCCCACTCAAAGCACTGAATCAAAGATCCAAGCGTCAATCCTACCACTCTCAACGCCAAGCCGTCTCCGGGGCAGGCCCGCCTGCCAGACCCGAATGGCATCAACTTAAACCCATCTCTCGCTGTTCCCTCCACTCCTTCAAACCTCTCAGGCTTGAATATTTTCGGGTCCTCCCAAACCTTGGGATCGTTCTGTATAGCCCACACGTTAATGAACAATAACGTACCAGCCGGAATCCGAAATCCTGCCACCGTGCACTCTGTCGTTGATTCATGCGGTAATAATAGCGGAACCGCAGGATACATCCGCATCGTTTCGCTCATGACACCCCGGAGGTATGGAAGCTTAGCCAGATCTGACTCGTTGATCAGCCGATCAAGACCCACGACGTTTTCGATTTCTTTTTGAGCTTTTTTTTTTCCTTCCGGATGGCTGAGAAGGAGCGAAAATGCCCACTCCATGGTGGTGATTGAAGTTTCTGTTCCTGCAGACAACAGAAGCTACGAGAATTTCCTAGATTATCACAAGAACATTTGGAGTGCTAGGAATTTGAAACAAGGGAGGAGTAAAATCAAAGATCTTACAAGCATGAGTTGTCCGATCATCTCGTCGGTGTAATACTCCGGTTCTGATTCTTGTTGAGACAGCAACATCTCAATCATCGCCTTCTTCCTCTCGCCACCACCATCTTTATTCAATTTTCTTCTACTCTGCCCTAGCAGGTCCCGGATAAACTGCTCTCTGTTTCTCTGACACTCTATCATCCTTCTTTCCAGCTTCTTGGATTTAAGCCATGGCAAGAAATCTGCGTAATTCGATGCAGAAAAAATCTTAATCAATTCATCTTGAGCCGCTCGAAATTTCTTGGCTTCCTCCACATCCGCCACATTCTCGCCGTAAAAGGGCTTTCCGACGATCATCCTTGTCATCACATTGAGGGTCAACTCGAATAGCACTGTCTTTAATTCAACAGGCTTGTCTTGACGATCTGAGAGCTTACGAATCAGCAATCTGACTTCATCAGCACGTATGTTTGACAACATCTGCAGGCGGGATGTTGATAAAATCTCTATGGACGTAATTCGTCTGAGATTTCGCCAGTGGTCCCCGTAAGGAGACCAGGCGAGGCTCTTGCAGTTGTTGCCTATGTGTTCGGCAATCATCAACCGAGGGCGGTTGGCAAAGATTATATCATTTTTAGTCAAGCATTCTTCCGCTGTCGACGGGGATGAAACTACGACCACCGGACGATTTCCCGGAAGACTAAGGGGCCATTTCGGTGGGCAATTTTGGTCAGGGTTCTGAAGAGAGGCCTCTTCAGCAGGTACAGATGGCCGATTATGGGAAAACATGGAAACGGGCATGGTTAAACCCCTATTTCGGTCCCTGAACTATTGTACGGACCTTCAATTTGGTCTCTAAACTAAAGAAATTCTTAATTTGATCCTTAAACTATTGTATGAATCCCTAAGTTGGTCCCTAAACTATTGTATGGATTCCTGAGTTAGTTCTTAAACTATTATACAAATCTCTAGTTTCATCTCTACTATTTACTAATTTAACCTCAACTTGATTTTTCTGTTAAATAATAGCTTAAGGATCAAATTGAAGTGAAATTGTAAATAATAAGGATCAAATTTGGGATACGTACAATAGTTTAAGGGCCAATTAAGGTTAAATTATAAACAGTGGGACTAAATCGGGGTCCGTACAATAGTTTAGGGACCAAATTAGAAATTTCTTTAGTTTAAGGACCAAAATGGAGATCCATATAATAGTTTAGGAACCAAAATAGGGATTTAACCTTCTTTTTTCGATCATAAGCATTTCCGTGTTTACCTTTATTTATTTATTAAATTGAATCATTTTGATCTCACAAAGCAAATTCGGATCTGTTAAGAGTCCACTGTGCCGACCGGAAAACCCAGCCAGCACCATGTTTCTCCATGTCATCCTTTTCACCGCTCTCTATGCAATTACCATCCATTTTCTCCACAAAATCCGGAACCTACCGCCGATCCCATTTCCAACTCTGCCCATAATCGGCCATCTCCACCTCCTCAAGAAACCCCTCTACCGCTCCCTCTCGAAAATCGCAAACCAGCACGGCCCACTTCTTCTCCTGCACTTCGGTTCTCGCCGTGTCCTAGTCGTCTCATCTCCGGAGGCCGCTGAAGAATGCTTCACCAAAAATGACATCGTCTTCGCAAACCGCCCCCATCTTCTTGCTGGCAAGCATGTGGGTTACAATTACACTAGCCTTGCCTGGGCATCGTACGGTGACCACTGGCGAAACCTGAGGCGCATCTCTTCAATCGAGATTCTCTCCACGAACCGTCTCCAGTTGCTCTCCGGCATACGCAGCGATGAGATCCGATTGCTGGTTCAGAAGCTCTTCAAGAATCAAAATCAAACGGTGGATATGAAATCTGCATTTTTTGAGCTAACGTTGAACGTGATGATGAGGATGATGGCGAGGAAGAGGTACTACGGTGACAGCGTCGCCGAGGTAGAAGAGGCAAAGAGGTTTCGAGATTTAACAACAAAAACGTTTCTATACGGTGGCGCAACTAATATGGAAGATTTTTTACCAGTTTTGAGGTGGGTAAGTAATTGTGAAAAGAGATTGG